CCCTTGTCCGCAATCCCGAGCGATCGTGACACTGGCGACGAGGATAGGCTTGGTGCTAATCTTCTTTTAAGTTATCCTCGCCACACCTAGTCCAATTATTGCACCCTTTCACTGGTTACATTAGAAAAAAAACGTAGCGGAAATAGCACGCACGCAACACTCAACAGTGCAAAAAGAAAAAAAAAGATACTTAGTCAATGTCTTTACAGGTAACAAAAAAATATATATAAAAAAAAATTATTCTGATAATTTAGATAGCTCTTCATTTTATCCCCATGCTTCTTTTTATTAATTTTTTTTTATTTTGTTAGAGGGAGACCGAATGCCGAACTTTATTGTACACGAGACCTGCAAGGTATTTTTTCTTGATACTTCGCGTCGAGAAGGTTGCTAGTTTGTGGAGGACGAAGTCGGCCTAACATCTCAGGATTATAGCTTGCAAGCTCATACTTTGAAAAAAATAAAATAAAATAAAGACTAAACGAAGCAGGCATAAAATGTAACTGACACAATAAGGCCTTCTGTATCAACTGCATGTCAACAAAAGCCGAGTGACCGATTAATCTGATAGCTAAAATACCCCCTTTACTTCAATTTGTAACGGGAAGCACCACTTGCCGACGCCGTGTGCGTCTAAGTAATTGCGTTGTGTGCATCTTTATTCAACCGGAAGTTAATCGATCTCAATGGGCTCTCAGCTGTAGAAGAGAAATTTAGCCAGTGCACAGTGGCGTACCAACTTGTTTTTGAGTGGGGGGGCAAACCAGACCCTCTCCCCGCCCCCCCCCCCCCCCCCCAAATCGAAAATTCGGCGCAACTTTTGTCCAACTTTTCTAAAGATTTGGCAATGATTCGGCAAAATTACAACGTTACCAGACTTAACATTGATATTTTGTTTTTTCTCACGAAAAAAAATTTGCTTCTTCTTAAAATAAATGCAACTTGTAGTGCCTATTGAAAGAGTTATGACTAAATAAGGTGATATTCTAGAAGATAATTGTATCGATGTCGCTTTTGTGTGTTTACTTGTAATTTTGGTGTATGCTTCCAGAAAGTGGCGTGACAACGAGGTTGGGTAGTAGCCGGCACAGTCACGAATCACACTACGAGAGCTTTGATTTTGAGGCTTCATCAGCGCACGCCTGCAAGTGTGTTTACATTGTTAAAATAAAGGCAATCACTGCGTTCTTACTTTCTCTGGTAGTCGCCGTTTCGTGCGCGACAACGGATGCAACGGTTGCTGAGCCTTCACCAGAAGAGATAACAATATTGTAAATATGCATGTTTTTCGATTTGAGTCACTTGACGTCAGCTTTGCATGAAAGTGCGCGTTCCATATTCGCAACGTGCCGTTCTTAACCTTTAAAGTTCCGGTTTCTGGTGTTCGGACACACACGGACGTTTAGGAAGATGGGGAGAGTTAGGAATGGTCGGATGTGCAACGTCGACCATGATAGTTCTGTGTTTAACGAATATTTTTCATCAGTGTTTACTAACGAGTGCTTGGACTCCGTCCCCACTCTCCCTGAAGAGCTCTACGAGCGCATGCATCCTATTAACGTTAACTCCGCCGGTATTATAACATTGATTGATAAACTAAAACTTACTTCGTCCGCTGGAACCTATAACATCAACTCTAAAATTTAAAAGAAACACCAGTGTTATTTCGAGTGAGCATTTAAAACTTATCTTTATTCAGTCCTTATCTCAAAGGTGCCTTCCATCTGACCAAAAGGTGGGAAGGGTAATTCACAGTCTTTTACATTTACATTACATTTATATTCTAGTAATTCGTAGTTTACTTTAACTACTTTTCCGAGTGACTTCCACTCAAATTACAAATTACTTTCTAATTTTAGTGGTTGTTTTGCCTATCAACAGAGAAAAGATGTCGGAAGGTCAGCTGATATTTGCAGAGGGGGAAGCATGCGGAGTAGAAAAGGGGGGGATGGGAAGGAAGAAAGTGATTTAGATAGTCCAAAAAACCCCAAAATTTTAACGAGCCCCCCCACTGCAACAACACTGCTACGAGGCGCGGGGAGCGAACAGACACGACGCAAGAGAGGTCGAGTAACTGTGGGATTAGCTCCGAATAGTGGCGTTTCTTTGTATTCCGAAGCTCAAGGAGACTTGACGCATTTGAAGAAAGGGCTTGTCCCCGCTTCTCTTCAATGTAGGAATTCTTGCCCACTACAGGAGGTGCACACACTGCTCCTTTTACGGTGCAGGCGATAGAACCCCTAACAACGACGCTCACGCCGGATGGGCTGCTCGTGTATCACTCGAAGCGCGTTAACCCACCCCCGCGCCTGCGTTCACGCCGCTTCGCGGTGACGGTGTGCGGCTGCTAATTACAAATCTATTAACCCACCTAGCCCCCCCCACCCCCCGTACACGCCGCTTTGCGGCGTCCGGTCGGCAACCCAAGCCCCGCTGCCCCCCATGCACTTCCGTAAATAGAGTCGATACGATTTAGTTTAGCGATGTTTCGTCAACAACATTCGTTTTTTTTAGTGTTAATGGTAAAAAAGAAATGTAAATATCGCCAAATGCCTCGACAAAACAAAATGTTCGAGAAAAAAAATAAAAAGAAGTAAGCCGGCCCACACCATAAATAGAACCCGGGTCTGACACGTATGAGGCAGACATCTCACCACTAAGTTACGCTACCTCTTCGGAAACTCGCATTGCATCCGCTGCCTATGTTGACGGCGGCAGCGCCTATCTCCAAGCAAGCAAGCAAAACTTTATTTTGTGTAAGGGCCTACGTCCTGGTCTGGACGGCCCGTCCGGCCCATGTCTCGCGAATGGATTCCGTTAGGTTACCGTGTAGCCTTGTTCGTGGGGCAAGGCTCCACAAACCAGCCAATCCGGCGTGCGTGAGCACCGTTGCTAGGGTTTGTATCGCCTGCGCGTTCAAAATATGCCCGCGCGGGTCGGGGGGCAGTGCCCTTGGAATTCCTTGGGCGCCGCCGGCCTGTGTCTCCTCTGCCCAGTGGCGGCCGTTTCAGGGGGGGCAAAACGCATGCCTTGCCCCCCCACTCTGAGAACTGGGGGGGCAAGTGCCCCCCTTGCCCCCCCGGTTGGTACGCCCATGCCAGTGCAATACAATCGCTAGCCTGGGTATGTTGTAGTGATACACTGTCAGGTAGCCGTGCAACATTCGTCATTGCCATATTTTCTTTTTTTTTTTTTTTTGAAAACGTTTTGACAGTGGTAGTAACGCCTATTCCTCATAGATCATATCTATATATTTGACCTTGCAAATATTGAGAAACCTTCGCTCTAGGGAAATGCAGTTCCTCAAGTCACCTCATAGATAGTGGCAGCGAACTTCGTCGTAAGCAAACCCAAGTGTGTGAACGGTCCTTTATACTAAAGGCTCGACGTCGAGCATCGAGTGCGAGTTCCATCTTGAGCAAAAAACAGCATCGATTACAGGGGCTGGTCCAAGATTGTCAGTCCAATGAGGGGACTAAACGAGCTACGCACAGACCATCGACTAAACCAATCACGCGCAGAAAAAAAGTGCAGCACCACGAGGCATTCACAGTGCACGAGTGGTTTTGCCAGTAATCGAAAACGCACAGAGACAACAACCACGGCGACAATGCACTTTTGCCACTCCTTAATTGGCTCAATCAGACGGATCGTTTGCTGTGATCCACTGAAACGGAGTCAGCACGAGGCATGGCGAAAGATACAATTGTTTGTTTTTGGCGGGGAGGGGCGATGCATAACGACAAATTTAGCGCCGCTTTTTTCTTTTGCATTGAAAATTAGTGGCTTTTGTTTAGATATGTCACAAACACCCATTTTATAGGACATCGTTGTAGGTTCCTGAACCTAAATCTAACACAATGCTAATACAAAAAAGAAAAAAGTACAGTGCAAAGAGAGGGACTTAATAATGTTGTCCAACAACCAACTAGCCCAACAATCCACCCATGTCTCGGGGGTTTGGCATCGCACACCCCTAATAAAAATTAGCGGTGTGCGATACCGGTTCGAATTGAATAGCCCTGCTTCCTTCATAACCTTCACAATAAGAAAAGAAAAACAAAACTTTTTTTTTAGGGTGCTAAAGTTAGGGATGACACTTGTGTTATTAGATTTGAACCGGTATTTGTACCTCTAAAACAAACTACTCCCGCAAAACAGATCTGCACAAAAAAATAATAATAATAACAGAGAAGGTAACTGACATGTCGTTTAGGCATCTCTCAATCATTGGAAAACTTCTTGCAGCTGGCAGTAGAAGCTGAAAATCTCAATATTTCAATCAGTGAACTTGAAGGCCGATGAACTCGAGTTCTAACTGAGCGGGAAAGCCGTCGAAAGTCGATCTCGGTATCTAGTATCCCTGCCGCCCCGATATGGCAGCATCGCATGACCATAGCCCAGTGCCGTACAGCAATCTGGGTCAAGCTTCAAAGCCGCGTTCAAATAGATAACCCATGTAGTCACCCCCCCCCCCCCCTCCCCCCGAAAAAAAATAAATAAATAAAAAGGCTTGGCAATAGGTTTTGGGGTGACTCGCGTTGAGTCACGAGTGGTAGTCATCTGCGTACTACATTGTGTAACTGCCTATCGTCCTTTTTTTTTTTTTTTTTAAGTTATGGTTATTGCAGTTTACTCCGTGCACGAACCCTCCAAGCTGGTGGTGCCGAAACTCCAGGAAATGTGCACCATGCTGGTGCAACAGTGCTACTGAAGCGCCCAACCTCAGTCCACAATAAAATATTTCAACTACACGAAGTCGTGTATCAGTCTTTCCTTCCTCGCGACAACGCGCCGCACTGCTGAATAGGTATCGACTAAGCAAGCTTTGTCGCCGATTCATCGATAAAACGAAAGGATAGGTATCTCACCAAGCACGTTCCCCGTACGTGATCGCTCAAACAACGCCCGGCATCTAGTCAGTAATCTCGAAAAACTTCGCGGGGGAAGCACCCCGGTGACGCAAGACTATGACGTCATATTACGCAAGCAGCCAGTGACCTTCTGTTGCTTCTGTCACGGAGACGCGTTTACCGAAAATAGTTCTAATACAGAGACATTATTAAGCAGAAGGATGCAAACCTGACTATTCGGAATCAAACAGCATCATACAGCAATCACAGTCGTCTTTGAAGAAGTTTTCCACGCTTGAAACACTAAAATAGCTAGAAAAGAAAAAGGCGCCCGCTACAGCGCCGCGACCGGCCAAGCCGGCGCCGAACCGCTTCACTCAACCGGAAACGGGTCCGAACATATAAGATAGTTCTCCCATATGAACTTAGTCAGTGAAATAAGTAGGTCAAACAATGCAAAGCTGAGTAATATATTAAGATAGAACGTGATTTTCTTATCGATTGATAATGTAATATTTTTTTTTCTAAGCATTTATCTGAAATCCCGGGTTCCGGTTAGGCTTGGCGGAGGAATACAGGGTCCTGAAGAGCGGCCGGTTTTTCCTTTCGTGTCGCACTAATTGCATGCGAACATGTCCTATTCCCACGACGAAAGGTAAGCTCCGTTTAAGCTATTTTTAACTCGCAAAAATTGTACGAAATTGTGCGGAAAAGATGCGTGAATGTGGTCCAAAGATCGCCGGCTTCACGGAAAGACGTTTCACTCCCCGCCGTTCGCTTCATTTGCGAAATTTTCGGGCCCATGCGATGACACGGCCATCATGGCGATTGGATTTGGCTTTGTGGATAACACGTGCCCCTCCATATGCCCGGTTTCTAGCGCTTACCCGGTCGTCTCGCTGCTTCGCGGCAAAACGACACGCCGAAAGAATCGTTTTCGCCCCGATTTAATCGCTGGTGCTGCCTATCTTGCGGAACACGTCGACTGGCCTGCCCCAAACTTGCCAGTGGTTTGAATGGGCGCTAACCTTGCCACTCATTTTAACGGCTCTCCGAGCTCAGATTAGCCTACCTTGTGCCTTTTGCCGACGCCGCGAACAGTTCGAAGTGTAACTGTATCTCGTAGTATTTGTCCCGAGAAATCTCGGCGCAACTACGTCGCGTACTGCGCCCGATTTCGCCGTTAGGCCTAGTTAGGCCTCGTGGCGTGTCATCGCTTTCTCGGGAAATCCGTTCACGACCCTGTGGTTTGCCGGCTTCGGGTCTGCTGACTGCTGTGAACACTGCCGGCCCACAACAGTAGCCAAGTCTCGTCATACTCCTACAAAATGAAATCGGCTAGTCGGTGTCGCAGATACTGAAATCGCCTGGCGCCCTTTGAGTTTTGTTTTTGTGCTTGTGTCGAAATTCTGGAGGCGGCAACGCCGGTAATGTCGGTTTTTTTTTTTTTTTTTTTTTTTTTGTCTGGTTGAACATCGTCGTGAGAAAGGCAGATTTCTTTGTCGTTGTTTTTTTGTCGTACATTGAAGACTGATTTCGATAATCTTCGTTTACCTTTTCGGGAACTTGGGCTAGTGAGCACGGTGTTGAAGCCGCAACTTCGTGAAGGTTAGAGATAGTGCCCGATAGTTGTCGTCCCATTAAAAGCACCGAGACTGTAGCTTTGCAAGGCGAACGCAGTGACAGTTCTCGGTCGTCGCTGGGACGGACAGAATTGTCACCGGTTTTGGGTGAGGCGCCGGGGTTGAATCACTATCCCCGGGGTCTCAATGACCTGTGCGACATGGACGCCCCCATATTTCCGTGAAATATAAAAATATTCTCGTTTCCTTTTTGGCACCTCTTCAAAATACAAAAAAAAAAAGGCATTTGCTTTATTTGCCTTTGATCATGACGGTTTCCAACGCCCATTTCTCTTATCGTGAAACTTGTGCACTTTCCAGTGCACCATCCACGCCTAAGCTGACAAGATGGTAGGAGCTAAATGCTCATTGGACCAATCAACCACCTCCCTTTTATGATCCGAATGATCTCGCTCTCTGCGTGCGAGTATGGGTGGGAAGCTGGTGAAAGATCAGCGTATGTCTGATCAAATGTGTGCATAGCTTCCGTTGCCCTGTGAGCTTGGCACTGAGTGGAGTGAAGCAGTGTGGAGGAGTAATTGTGGGATCCGAAATTTTGCTGAGCAGGTTCTGCCGTCACCGAACTGCTGCCACTAAGGGATGGTGTTGACGAGTCTCTTTCTCCTCAGAAATGGGCCGACTGACTGGGAGTCTGCTGACGGGAAACGTGCAGAGCAGCAGGAGTATGACGGCCCCGCTGGAATGGAGCCGGACGGCATCATTGAGGTGAGTTCGAGATTCGACTGTGAAAGGAAGCGGTAATGCCTTCTTGGCGCTGTGTTCATGGAAATGTGAGGTGATATGTACAGTCCGGGACAAAAGTCTCCAGGACACACGAGCTGCGACTGAAACGCATTGCTCTGCCATCTGCCGGTGGGTCGCTTAGTTTTGAGATCACAGAAAAGCGCGTGCGCGTCCTACTGTGCCTGCCAACATATGCGCTCTTCTGCGGCGCTGCGCCTAACTCGTAATCGGGCGCGTGGTACCGCCTCGGAGATGGCGCTTACTGACATGGCACCTAAAGCTCAACTGAGCGATAAGCTGAACTGGTTATAAAGCAAGGTGCGCTGACACGGCGAAATGCAGCGCACAGCCCCAGGCGGTATCTCGAGTTTCAGAATGTGTAGCAGACGCTCGTCAGCCGCCGGCGCTATCTCCAAGGCGGTACCACGCGCCCGATTCCGAGTTAGGCGCTGTGCCGTAGAACGGGAAAACACATGTTTGCAGGCAGAGTAGGACGCGCATGCGCTTTTGTGTGATCTCGAAACCAGGCGACCCGCCGGCAGATGGCAGAGCAATGCGTTTCAGCCGCAGCTCGCACGTCCTGGGGACTCTTGTCCCCAACTGATTAAGCCCACATTCAGAGAGACTCTATGGCTAGCCCTTCTTTCGTGTTGAGTGCCAGTTTTGTAGCAGGTTATGGTAACTTCTAAAAATGCTGCCTTGGTGGTCCTAGTGTGGTTCAAAGCTGATACGTGAGAGGCCACATAGAGAATGTCTAAACGACTAGAGTTTCCTTTTTAGCGTTGCGCCGGACATCTCTCAAAGGTCTAACTGCAAAGTGCTTAGCATTCCGAGAGTGCTGCTCGTTGGATTGGTTCAAAAGGTGGTTAAAGGAAGCAGCGGTTGCCGACAGCTTTCCGAGGTCGTTCCGTGCTCTAAATTCGTTATTATAAATCCTGTGGTTATGGCGCCGCTCTTTTTAGTTGTCTTGACAATGCTACACTAGAGGGCACATACAGTCAGCGTTGGCCATACTATTTGAGCAGGCACTGGGGAAGTGATAAACCTAATCTGGTCTAAAAAAAAAAAAAAATTGTGTGTACAGCCAGGTCTGCCTCAGTGGGCGTCTGGTGTGTCAGCTGTAGATGAGTGATTTAGCCAGTGTGGTACGACCACTAGCTTGGGGTCTTTAACGTGCACCACACAGTAGTGATACACGACCACATGCTGGTACAATGCTCGTCCAGATCGAAACTGGCAGGGGTGGGGATTGAACCGAGGTTCCTAGGTTCTGCAGCGCGAGCTTTCATTCCAAGTGCTCCGAGCTGGTGTGCACTAGACCACTTGGCCACCGATCCCCCTCACGAGGTCTGAATTGTCTTATTCATCCGTGTTTCTTGGCTGGAATTTGTCTGGGCTGTATCGAACACGCGCATAACAGCAGACATTTAGGTGCCTTTAATTAAATATTTCACACTGGTTGCGGAAAAACCAGGGGGAGATGCGTGTCTTCTGTACAAAGCAGTGCAAGCGTCATGACTTTCACATAAATTCTATTCTTATACTGAGGACTTGAAATGGGGAAAAATAAATTGTGGTTTGTCCAGGAAAGGTAGTCATTTTTGCATCGCTTCGTGGAGGTTTAATCTAGTGTCCGAAGGATGCTGTCCCATTAAAAGCACCGAGACTGTAGCTTTGCTAGGCGAACGCAGTGACAGTTCTCGGTCGTCGCTGGGACGGACAGTATGGCCACTGGTTTTGGGTGAGGCTCCGGGGCTGAATCCTTTCCCCGGGGTCTCAATGACCTGTGCGACAAGAGATTGTGAAGCTTCCTGCGTGTGCTTCCGTCTAGTGCGGCGCATGTGTAACGCTTTCCGTGTTTGATTGCAGAGCAACTGGGAAGAGATCATCGACAACTTCGATGACATGAGCCTCCGAGAAGAGCTCCTCCGAGGCATCTACGCCTATGGTTTCGAGAAGCCGTCTGCCATCCAGCAGAGGGCCATCATCCCATGTATCAAGGGTGGGTCCCTCTCTTCCTTCTGGTCAAGCTTGGTCCGTTTTGTGAGAGACGATGCCGCAAGGTGTTTTTCCTACCTGATGTTCAAACTTATTACATTAAAATAATAGACGATTTTCGAACGTTCAAATTTTTTGTGCTAAACAATTCTATTATTTTCAAACTTTCGAATTTATCGTGCTAAGAAATTGGGAAGCTTTCAGGCTTTCAAATTTTCTGAAGTTTAAAACTTTACCCCTCCAAGAGGTAAGAATTATAAGTACAAGAAACATACGGTTGGCCGATCCTAAATGTTTGGGCCATTTTGGGCAGTCCCCGTGCGAGTTGAGGTCGTTGCCGTGCTCCCACACCTGGAGTTGTGTCTGCTGCTGTGTATGTATCTCTGTGTCCAGTATCTTCCCCATCCCGCGCACGCCATTCCACCAGAAATAAACAACCACGACAACTAAAGTTTTTTTTGGAAAACCTGCCTTCATGCGTGTGTGTTTCGTCTTGTATATATTGTTGTTTCATGAAAGCGTTGCATTTAGGCGCTGTTTAAGTAAAAAGAATGTACACTGAACTGCCTCCAAGCTTTTTATTGTACCATTCAAGCAGTCCAACCCTCGTTTCATACAGTACGATAAACTAGTAACAGGTAGTGCCGTAAGTACCACAGTACTGAGAAGAGAGGAGTCGGGGCTTAAAAGAAATTAAAAATTTGTTCCACATTTCATGATTTTTTTTAAGTAGAATCTTTGAGAACTTAATTAAAGATTGCGAAATTCGATCTTCATTTGTGAGATTTTCGTCAAACTTGTTCAGAGAAGAATTGCGAAACCTCAAATTTTTAGAACTGGTATCTGAGAGAAAATTTGAAGTTTGACTTGATCTATAAAGAAATTCTAAACCTTTGAGTGATAAGTTTTAGATTTCTTGACATCTTCGAACTTTCGAAATTCGAACATTAAAGCCGTTTCAGAATTTTCTAGACCTTTTTGAATTTAAACGTTGGTAGGTTTGTGGCATCCCGTGTTGGTTGGCGAGCCAGAAGAGACAAGTAGCTGTTGTGTGTTCCATGCAATGGCCTCAAGGTATTCGGCTGCGTTCTTGCTGAACCTTTAGGTGCCAGTTGTGGTGTAGGAAGTGGCAACATTGTGTGTTTTTTTTATCAGGGTGGTAGTTTCTCCGTCTTTATGCATTGGCAGTGTGACATGGGTGTCTAGCTACTGGGAAAACCGGGAATTTCAAGGAAATTTGAATTACCCGAAAAAATCGGGGATATTGTCAACAAGTGAGCTCTGTCAGGGAAAATTGAGCCGGAAACGCCATCGAGTTCCCTGAGCAAAGGCTCGACGACTTGGGGGCAGAAAAATAGGCAATAAAGTCTGCTTAGAGTGGGGGCGTGGGCTCTGCTCACCCGATGTAGAGTATGCTACTTGATGCAAAGGGAATATCCAGCAAATCCAGTCCAAGCCTTGAATTGGATTGAGGGTGCGACACTAGGCTAGGCTAGGTTCAGGTAGAGCTACTAGATTTAGTAACAAATGGGAAAGTCGCAGATTGTAATTTAATCCGAAACCTTAAGCCGAAAGTGTGCATAAGGCGGCCATGTTGCCATTCAGTTATTGACGTGTGTGGTTGAGCGTCGTGTTTCCGGAAGTGGCGTCTTCGCTGGCGATGTCGGCGGCAAGAAAGTGCTCGTTTCTTCGTGGTGGACGAACCCGAATGTTAAAGGGGCCCTGCAATCATATTTAAGCGTCTACGCGGTTTTGCGGTTTCCACGTCTCTTGGGGTTCGGACAAGCCAGCGGGCACGGAGAGAGTAACTAAATATCAGCGCATCATATTTTAACCGGACAACGCGGAAACCTCCTCCACCGACAGGGGCGACCCGCGGTACCGAAAGCGCGCGAAATGTGACGTCTTTGGTCCTGGGCTTACTACTGGTCAGAGCCGCTAAAAGCTTCTTTTTAGACGAAATACAAAATAAAAGTGTCGCAAACCGTTTCAATTATTTATAAAAGTAGTTTTTGTTCAGTATTTTAGATCAGAAAAGAAACAAATGCAGTTTATAATGTACGGAAACAAGAATTGACACGTCGACATACCTGCCACCAAGCCGTGGAAAAGGCGGCGCATACTAGAAAAGAGTAGTGGGATCAGGCGCCGACACCGAAAGGTCCCGGATGTACGCGGCGGCGCTGCGGTCGTTTACGGACTGGAGGATCCGACCGGCTTCGAGCGTTCCGAAGGCCTTCAGCGAGTAGCTTTGTCTTGCGTTTTGGCCATTTCGCGGTACGGCAGCGCGAAGTGACTCCCATTCTGAACTGATCTTTACCCCGTGTTTGCTGTCGTTTGTGGCCAATGAAGTGTCATGCCGAATTAGGGTTTGATCGCGCAGCAAATGCAATGAGAGCCGCTCTGGCTGCCCGCTGTATGCAGCCTACCCAGAATACGCTTTAGTGGCGCCCTCTCGCGCCGTCAACACGGAGTACGGCAGCCGTGAGCGCTCGCTTAGCTCACTATCCCTCCTCTAGTTCACGGCCGCTCAAGCAACCAAGGACGTCACGAGGGAGGTTATTCTTTGCATGTTTTTGTAATTTTAATTTTCCTATAACTTTTAAAATAAGGCGAAATTCGAGAAAAGAAAAGTTACATTAAGTTACTACGGTCAGTGCGCTCAAGGCCCCTTTAAGGGGGGACATGGCCTCGGAATTCAAAATTTTCAGAAAAAAACGTTTTTTTCAAAAATGATATGTTTATGCTTATTAACTTCCAAAGAATGGTTTCAGAAACTTTCATTTAGAAACATGCAGGATTTATCTCAGAATAAATTATTTTCGACATGTCGGCAGCCCTCCAAGTCAGCAGGAAGCAAGTTTTTTGTGTTTTTTATTTACCACTGCTTCATACTCGTTTAACCTAGCCAGAACATCTCACCCTCATTGGAAGTGCCATTTACTCTAGATCTAGCTCGTAGAAGCTTTCGAAGTTTACAAGTATCAAGGGCCAGGAGGACCCAATACATCCAAAAAGAAAAAATCCTGAAAATTTGGTATGAGCAATTTTATTGGTTGACACCTGAAACAGGGTTTATGGTTGGTCCCTCCCGGTGACGTCATATTTTGTCGTCTTCATTAACGCCCCTTTACAGTACCTTCCACTTCAGATCCTATTCCTGCTTTGCTGCTCTTTCTCAGTGTGATTTGCCTCTTAGTTCCTGTCAGCTTATCTGTCAGGGAATGCCTGCTACAAAAGTTAGCATGCCTACAAACAACACAAACTGGTAGCTATTGCCAGGGGAACAACAGATGCTCAAAGACGAAGGTGCTAACAATGCTCCAGTTGAATTTTGCCTACCTCAGACTCATAAAAAATAAAGAAACTTAAAGTTGAAACTTCAAATGCATTTTTCTCAGTTTCACTTTTTGGCAGGAAATGTGGTATGAGGAAATGTATCATTGGACATTTTGAAAGTGTAAAGATTTCATTCAGTGTTGTCCTTGACTCAAATTTCCTGAGGAACAAGTTAAGGTACTCATAATCTGAAAATGCTAAATTCTTCATGACAAAAACTGAATATTTTAAAACTCACAAATTTGTTAAAATCTTTTGCTCTTTTTGGGTGTTATTGTTTTTCTCTAGAATCACATTTTTTACAGTTAATTTTTACCTTAACTTGCACTATGGGTATTCTACTTCACATTAAACTAAACATTTTGTGGATTTCAATTATTATTTTTCTTAAATACATTTCCTAATAAAGTAACTTTTTTTGGAGCTTGCTAAGCATAGTATGCAGTAGAATTGGCCTATAAGGCTGAAACTTTAGATGTCATCAATCCTAATGGGGTTCAATTCACCCTGAAAGTTTGAATCACTTTGAGACAATGGTTCAAAAGTTGACCCTCCCAGGCCATGTCCCCCCTTAAGGAATATGCAAGTTGGGGGATAAAGCCCGTGCAAAATTATCCTTACAATACTCAATGCCTTGTGTTGTAATGGTCTTATATACTAAACCGCCTCTACAGTCAACAGTAGTCAAGGAATTTCACCTGAAATTGTCAGGAAAAACCTGGAAAAGTGAAGAAATTTCAAAATAATAATTCGCTAGACTCCCTGGACATACAACAAAGTGGGGCAGTGAAACATAGAGGGAGCAAGCTGCTGGTACGAAGGCTCACAATGGTGTTCGGTATTTAGCGGGGAAAGCAGCATCCACTAATAGCCGGGCAGTGCTCGTTTGAATGGCCTGCCTGGTAGCAAAGGATGCCAAACCAAAATCCCATCTGGGTGCATGGTACGGCAAGGCTCTTTCCAGTCTGTTCGTCGGCCTCAAGATGGACATACGGGGGCTGTGCTCCAAATCTTAAGGCCTGTTCACACTTGCGACTTGGGACAGCCACTGGAGCGACTGGCGACCGCCAGTGTTCACACCTGACTGAGCGACCGACGAGTCGGTCGCTCAGTCAGGTGTTGATTATTATACGTTAAGTTGGCAGTGGCCAACTTAACGTATAATAATCAACACCTTCCCGAGCCGGCTGAACAGTCTTTCTGATCAAAGGAAAAAACAAAAACAACTTAATGGTGCTTCGAAATGTGCAACAACGGCTATATGTGTGCTCCCTCAACCATGATATTGTATGTACCTGCCATGCCGAAAATGTCGCCGATGTCGTTCCAGGCCCGCAGCATTTTGTCCCGATCCTTGTGGTCAGGGTGCCGCTTATTCTAAAGAAACGGATAGTCTGAGAGCATTAATAAGAGCTTCCGCAGAGGATTCCCATGCCAGTTACCGCTGCCGTGCGCACCTCGCTATTTCCGGCAGGAAACAATGCCGAATGTAAACAAACGCAAGCTTCACTTCCGACGAGACTGTGATTGGCTTTGCCGTCCAGCGACTCGTTTTTGCGACTTGAGAAATCGGTCGCTACCAACCTGTTTTAGTCGCTGGTGGCTCCAGCGACTGTCGCAGTGTGAACGGGCCTTTATAGTGAATTCCCCCGGTAAATCCGAAGCGCTTTCCAAAACCTTTGGGCTGAGGTTCATTCTTTTTTTCCGTATGTTTAGCTCATACCTTGTTTGCTGGCCTAGCAAGCACGCGCCGCTGGAGTGAGTTCCATTACTAAACGTCACATCAGAACACAAAACAAAGAGCCCTTCAATTGTGCAGCACTTAAAATTAATTTTTTTTATTTTTCTAAGACTATCTGTTTCAAAAGCCACTTTTGCTGCTCTGAAAGAGTTTTGGTTGTTCCAAAAGCCACATTTGCTGCTCTAAAACACTGTTTTGGCTGCTCCAAGAGGTGCTCTAAAATGGCTTGGGCCAGTCACATCACTGGGAGTACGATCAAGGAAATTTGGGACACATTCCATTCCTAGTCAGTTTTGTCCAGGCTGCAACGCCAGCAATCATGGTTGCTGTGCCAGAAGCTGTGCAACTTGCGACTGACCATTCATGGAGGGGAAGGGTCTGCACAACTAAGCCTCGAGTTGGATTCAAGGTGGTATATGACGGTGCACACTACATGGCAACCTGCATTCACTGGCATTGCAATTGCAGCAGTCGCATCAGAAATAGCTGTTGTCCCTGGACTGGCAAAAGTAGGGCTAGTATGAGAATGCCTCCATACTCATTTTTGTTGCAAGATGATGTCATTTGCATGTATCTTTTTGGGGAAGTTGAGAATCCTTTTTGGTCCCGTTATGTGGATTGTGGCCTCTGTATGTTGCTCTCCAGGGGCCCTAAGCTCGTTAAACACAAAATTGGAACCGAAAGTTTGTGGAGTGCGCCGATTGGACGCTGGCGACAAAAGCACGATGTCATTGTCGTGATCATACCTCGGCAAACCTCACTCATGAGGGCTCTCACTCACCCTCATCTTCACAGGTGAGGTGAGGGTGAGTGAGTTTCTGAACCAGGAAAATTCATGAGTGAGGGCCGTGAGGGCCGTGAGGGCAATGAGGGCGGTAAGGGGTATGAGGGCCGTGAGTGGCATGCAGGGACGGCGCCAACGGGAGGCGAGGGGTGGCGGGTGCCTCCCCTAAAATTTCTTCTGCCACCCCAAGATGAAGCAGCTTTGTTCACAAATAATTACCAACGACGTCGGCTTGAAGACCCAGTGTAACGAGTGTTCAGACTTTAGAGCCGTGCATGCCTTTAATTTACCTTTTTTTCTGTTAACGTCCACCCACTGGAAGTCGTACCGCGAGCGAGTAAAGGCCCGTTCGCACTCTTGCAACCGAGTGCGACCGAGAGAGACCAGACCGGTTTTTAAGCCTCTTGCGATCTCTTAGGACCAGCTCCGCTGTAGCACATCCGGTTCTAAGAGGTCGCAAGAAGCTTAAAAACCGGTCTGGTCTCTCTCGGTCTTACTCGGTTGCAAGAGTGTGAACGGGCCTTAAGCTTTCAAGCGCTTTAGAAAAAGAAGCTCCCCCTTGTGACGCCTGCTGGCTTTTCTCTCCGTATTCCGCTCTGTGGTGCTTATCTTAGCGGAGACCGGAGACGTAAACGAAGGGGAGCTTAGTTAAAGTCGAGGTCATGGGGAATTCCGGACTGTCTCAGAAAGGGAAGCAAAACCTGGTTGGGAGTCTGAGCATTGGAGACAGAGGTCTCTGCTGTGATACCCCCCCCCTCTTCCTTCTCGTGTCTCCGCATTTCCCTTTTCAATGAGCACACCACATAAGCTATCTTCGATAAGCCCGTGGGCGACAGCACCTCAGAGCAACCCCCCCCCCAAATTAGGTTCGCCTCCCAGCTGCCCCCCTATTATGAAGATCCTGGCGCCGTCCCTGGTGGCATGAGAGGCGTGAGGGCGGTGATTGCATGAGGTGGTGTGAGGGCCATGAGTGCGTGAGGGCGGTGAGTGCGTGAGGCCCCCTCCAGATCGAGCATCTTTCTCAGCAATTTTGGTGTTAATGGCGGGTTGTTCTGTAGCTTTCCCTAGATCGACACGAATTGCTGAGATCGGGTCCGGCTCGAAATAAGCAAGCAACTCGGAACAATTCGAATACGTTTGAAGCGGCTGCATCCAATCAGGGACGCAAAATTTTCACGTGATACCTCATGCCGGTGATGATGACACCGAAAGACTTGGTTCTGGTTTGAAATCGATCGTTTTTTGGAAATAAACTGTTTCAGAAAGGTGCATTAGTATTCTTAACAAGATTTAAATGCATAAAAACACGTTTATAGCGCGTAATTTGTCTAAATAGTGCAAGAAAAATAAAATTTTATGATGACTATGGCAAATTGCAGCAATTGGTTCCTGCGTGTGATCGCGGGCGGCCCGTGTTGCTGGTGTTGCGACGTAAAGTTTCTGGGCGAAATTGCCCCATCTGAAGCTGGCCTGAGTGGCGTGAGGGGTGCGAGGGCCGCAAGACCGGTGAGGGCCGTGAAGGCTGTGAGGTTCAGTGAGGGTGAGTGAAGGGCTGAAGGTGAGTGTGACTGTGAGGGTGAGTGAGGGGCTGAAGGTGAGTGTAGCTGTGAGGGTGAGTGAGGGGCTTAGGTGAGTGTGGCTGTGAGGGTGAGTGAGGGCGACCTAAAATGCCGACCTCTGGTCGTGATAGCTGAATCTGTGCGCTCCGTGAACTTGCCCCCACTTTGTGTTTGACGAATTAAGAGCCCCAGCTTGACAGTTCATGGGATGCTGTGAGAACAGCAACACTCGCATTTGCTCATTCTTTTTTTTGCCAGAATTTTTTTACGGCTGACCACCGGGATTGTTTTATTTGATGGCACGACGTACCAGCTCCTGTGACGACGTTTGTCGCCGAGACCATTTTGGATGCATTGGCTGTATAGGACGCTAAACAGACCAGTTGACTCGTTTCCGGCCCTGTAGCTATGTAACGGAGTGCCCCGAAATGAGGCTCCTATTGCGAGTGTTTGGATGCGTCATGTGCCGGCGTAAGGCAGCGACTCGAAGCCCCTCGCTCTGTGCAGGCATGGACGTGATTGCCCAGGCCCAGTCGGGCACGGGTAAGACGGCGACGTTCTCCATCGCCATCCTGCAGCAGATCGACATGGCCCTGAAGGAGTGCCAGGCCCTGATCCTGGCCCCAACCAGGGAGCTTGCCCAGCAGATCCAGAAGGTGGTGATTGCCCTGGGGGACTACATGAATGCCCAGTGCCACGCCTGCATCGGGGGCACCAACGTGCGCGAGGACATCCGCAAGCTCGAGAAGGGCGTCCACACGGTGGTGGGCACGCCGGGCCGGGTCTTCGACATGATCAGCCGCAAGGCCCTCCGTGAGTGTCCATCGTTCGACTCACTTTTTGGCCGGCACTGAGCTCCACTTTGGGAGGCCGGACCAGTGCCACCCAGAAAGCGAGGCATGCGCCTTTCCTCCTCTAACTTCGTCACTATTAGATCCACGCCGCTGCGCCATACTCGCGTCAGCGTTGCCGAGAGTGTGCCTCACGGTGGAATGCTACACGGGGAGAAACTGAGGGCGAAGAGGAGACCAGTGCGCACGAGGACGTCGGGGCGTCGAGCCCCGATTGGAAGGATAGTGGGTAGACGCAAAGGCTAGCTGCTTTTGTCTCTACTAGCCGGTCAGACATGTTCGGCATTCGTATGCAAGGCACCGTGCAAGGAGCAGGCTGCGCTCTTCTTCGCTGCGATTGGCGGGAGACGGCGGGTAGAGACCAAGGCATCCAGCTTTGCGCCTCCCCGCTAATTGTTCCAATCTGAGCTTGTCTCTTTGACGTCCCCGCACGCTCTCATCTTTTCTCCCTCAGTTTCTTTCTGCATAGTAACAGACAAGCTGAGAATGGCAGGGAGGTGCTTCAGTTCGGCCTCCAGCACAAGCTTTCTACCCTCGAAAACACTTCGACATAGTATGCACGTCAAGTGCGCGTGCTGGAGACCGGGCATTCAAAAGGCACGCCCCGTCGTTCTCGTTCTGTCAGTAGACCATAGCTGCCGGCGGTGCCAGTGTCCAACGCTTTGTTCTTTTGTTTTGAGATTTTGTGTCGCATGTTCCTAGGAAGAATTTGATGATCTTTCGTTTATTCTTTTGGGAGTGCGGGTCAGTTTGGGCACGGTGTTGCAACTGCAACTTTATGGTTGGTCCATGGAGGTTTGAGCTAGTGTCAGAAAGATGCCGTCCCATTAAAAGCACCGAGGCTGTAGCTTTTGCCAGGCAAACGCAGTGACAGTTCTCGGTCGTCGCTGGGACGGACAGAATTGCCACCGGTTTTGGGTGAGGCTCCAGGGCTGAATCCCTTTCCCCGGGGTCTCAATGACCAGTGCGACACAAAGACCATGAAACAAATTTTGGGCTGGGATAAATAAGTTCTGATTGGGATTTTACTTATAGCATATCGTTCAGTGGACCAAAAGAAAGAAGGTAGAAAATCAAAAACCTAATTTTCAGTACAAAAATTTGAAAAGAACAAAACTGACCAGTTTTTATTTTTTTATTTTTTTTCTTCGAAAGCTCCCTGCCTTTTCACTCTGATACATCCATGGTGCCCAAAGCGTGTCATCCGACCCAAAAGCACGCCACCGGACCTCTTTTACTCCCTTCACCCCTAAGCTGACAGCGCGGTGGATGCTAGGCACTTGTTGGACCAATCAGCCTCCTCCCTTTCATCACCTGACCTCATTCTCTGCCCGTGGTTTATGCGCGAGAGAGCATGATCGCGTGGCAAAGGTGTGGCTGGCCCAGAGAACACGTAGCTTCCACTGCACTGTCAGCTTCGAGGTGAACGGGGTGATAAAAGCAACTTATGTCCGAGTTTTAAACGACAGGCTAGTCTTCTAGGAGGAGAATGGCGGTATTCGGTTGCACAAACGAGGGTCCGAGCAAGAGGAGAGTCCTTTCTTTCCATCTGCTTGAACTGTTTAGTAAAATGCGCGATATGAGAGTTGAGAAAAGTTAAGAAAAAGTTGAAAAATTGTTTCATGACCCCTTCAAGGTAGGGTGGTTTTCAGTAGGAACCTTTGCTTGAGCCCCCATACTTCCGTAGAAGTGGCAAGTCTTTTAAGGGCAATAAGGTATGAAGACCTCGGAAAAACATTCATAGTATGGTGCAAAACCTGATGGTGCCCAATGCCTATTGCTATTGTGAAGCTTGCGTAACCTCCATTACACCATTCACCCCTAAGGTGACAGGGTGGTGGAAGTTATGCGATCACCAGATCCAGATTCTTTCATTGCCCAACACTGCTCTCCGTGTTGGGTAATCGCTTCGTGTTGTGTCCCTCTCCTTTCGTCTCTTTTGCGGCGCATATTGTGTAAAGAATCATTTACCAACCAGCCCATTTCTCCATTTTAATGCCCTCTATGTGTTTGGTGCGGGTCAAGGATTCACAAATGACAATGCAGTGTTCAGGCCTTGTCTTGTGGGTGGTATTAGCTCAACAACACTTGGCCATTTTTGGGGCCGGGCTCCGGTACGGCCACCGGAAGTTGATCGCTGTCCCTAATATCGGGTTTCTGCTGAACTTCTTGGTTCATACAGTCGATATGTTTGTTTGTGCCTTCTTGTGTCTTAGCTCGTTAGTGTCGGATAGGGGGACTAGGGTATTTGAATGTGGCACGGGTGCCCTCGCACCGAAGAAAGATGGAAAGGGCAACCCCATGTATCCGATGTCGGTTGAGAGGCACACGATGAACAACAAATGAATGGCCATGCCCCTATGCGAGCTCAATTGAAACGGCATTTCTGAACGCAACATCTGGGAAAACGTGCGGTGAAACCTCATTCCTGATCAATGCTTTGACGGCCGTTATGTTCTTGTCGGCCGGGTCTATTGCACCCCCCCAGGAATGTCTGTATTAATTGGCGATTTGTTGCAGTTGCTTTCCCCGCTACTTTAAAAAACTTTCACCCGACGCCGTGCGTTAGTTTGCCCAGTCGCCCCACTTTCACTCTGCTCTTCCTTTCGCCCGATTGGTTGGGCTTCTTTTCTCGTCCGTGATGGACATTGACCAGGCTTGCAAGGAATTTTTTTTTAACAGCCTTTGCATCTTTTCATTGCTTTTCACGGTGTGCACTCTCACTCCTCTTGTGCTCGGTTCTCTTTCGCGCAAAGTTTGGACTTTTTGCATTGCACGAGCGTTGAGCTCCACCATGCTTCTTGCCTGCCTGCTAGGAGCAGTGGCTGACTAGTGGGAGTGGCTGAGTGCACTTGGGATGACTTCGCTCGCTGTTTGAGGTCTTTTTGGCTATTGTACATCAAACCTGAATTTTGAAAAATAATGCCGAAAAACAGGCGTGGAACATTTGAATCCACATGGCAGTTCCTGCACAGCCATGAAAGCACACGCAAAATAAATTGCTGCCTGGGAGTTCCTGTCCTGTCTATATGGGCAGAAACTGAGGGAGAGGAGGAGATGGGACAGACGCTGAGACACTGAGCTCTGGTTGGAATGAGCTGTGGCTGTTTGAGTGCAAATACGAGATGCTGGCGTTAAAACGCTTTTGGGAGATTGAGTAAACAGAAAGGCGATAAAAGTGCCCCGTGAGGTTATCACGAAGTGATCTGTATGAGTGACATATTTTTCATGTTGAGGAATCCACAAAAATTATGTCCTCTCAAATCTTCTTTCGCAGTTTACTGTGAAACGGGAATGTATCGAGGGGGAATCGCAGTCGATACGCTGGTGACAGACTTTGCTGCATTGTTTCCTCCCCACAGGAACAAACAACATCCGCATCTTTGTGCTGGATGAGGCCGACGAGATGTTGTCCAGAGGATTCAAAGACCAGATCTACGATGTCTTCAGGACACTAAACTCCAACATCCAGGTGAGGGGAACATTCGTCCCTTGTTCGTGCCCCAAAAAGGGCTGCTTATGGACATCAACAAAGGCAGGCTCGTAGTGCATCAAGACTGTTCAAAGTCTCCTTTTCTAAGGTTACATCTAAGCTTTGAGATGCCCAAGCATGTAGGGAGCTAGGTAGCACAAATTAAATGGCAACACCAGAAAGTTTGAACTGTAGGTGTGAAAGGCATCTGCTTTTTGTTTACAGATTTTCTCTTATGCAGAATGCATTAGCTATGTGTATGGAAAACTGGGAAGCGTAATGTTACATTGTTAAACCGTGGTGTCTCGCATGATGTTATGTCGTGACTCGACTCCTAACGTTGCTAGACCTAATAACATTTATGCCCTGTTGTCACGTGACTGGTCGTGGCCTGGCGCACGTCTCGCAGTCGTGCAACACGTAGGGGTACCCCTCTAAATTTGACCGATAAAAGCGTAGTGACGCAGCAGCTGCACAATTTGCAGCTTCGCTTTCGTTAAAACTTATTCTGCATTGCAAATGTTTGTGAAACTCTTTGTGTCAGTCCGTATTCGCTTAGGCAAGTTTGCGCATAAAAAAATCACATCTCACATAACGTTGAACTCGACGAAGTTCTACCCCCCCTCCGCTTGCAACGAGTGCCCGCAAGCTCTCGTGCCGCCCCAGACTTTCCCGGTGCCTGCCGGACTTGAGAGTGAACGAAATGCCGTCTGTGCTCAGGTGATCCTGTTGTCGGCCACGATGCCCTCCGACGTGCTGGACGTGACCAAGTGCTTCATGCGCAACCCCATCCGTATCCTGGTCAAGAAGGAGGAGCTCACCCTCGAGGGTATCAAGCAGTTTTACGTGGCCGTCGACCGAGAGGTGCGTCTGCTTTTTGGGACCAAGCACGGCCTTGCGCGTGCAGTGCAGCGCCAAATTGGTGCTGTAATAGACGCTTTCCAGAAGTGCGCTCCAGCTAGTAGCTGCCGTGTCGGTCATCAGAGTCCGCCATTGTTTGGGTACATATTTCGATTGTTGGTATTCGGCTAGGACTCAGTTTCAATTGCGCACTTTGTCCCGATAAAATGGCGACCGCCAATGATGCTCTGCTCGATGGGGTTTTGAAAAAGGTATGTCAATGCCACAGTTCATGCAAATTTTGCGTCGGTGTTTCTTCGCAGCACCGAGGTTACCTGCTCGGAACTTGCAATATTGCGAGGTAGCTCGCTGCAGCGACGTCAATTTCGAGAGCTTTCATGCGCCTGGCGTTGGGCCTAATACCGTCTGTTACCAGTGTGATAGCTTTGTTCCGAGAGATACGAGGTTTGCGGTATTGGGCCAGCTTTGTGCTTCGACATAGTTTTTGATGCATGGGGATCTCAGACAAAAATAAGTCGCCAGAATCATGAGCACTGTTACAGACGCCTCGTAACATTTCTGGTGTGCAACTTAAGACTGTGCCACTGAAGCCATTTGGCACTGCCATATCGGTGAGTGCTGCGTCGACGCTGAGGTTAGTGCTGTGCATGTGAACGGTCCTCAACCCTGTTGTTCATTGTGCAGACTTTGCTTTTGGTCACTTATGCACGAAACTAAGGGTTGCGAGTAGATTGCACAATTCGGTGGACCGTCCCTTTAAAGCACCGGGGCCGTAGCGTCTGCTCGAAGGCAGATGCAGTGACGGCTGTTCGGTCGTCGCTGGGACGGACAGTAACGAACCAGTTTTGGGTGAGGACCTGGGGCTTCAATTATTTGGTTCCCCGGAGCCTCAATGACTGGTGCAACAGGCCTCTCGACCCCTTGTCGGGTCTGGTAGGTTTTTGAAAACTGCCCGGCTGCACTTCTAGTAAAGTTGGAAGTCGACTATCAGAGGTGTTACGAGTGACGGTGGGATGTCTTAGGTGGTTGAGTTTTAGCTTTGCGAATTGAAGTGTTTCGTTGGCTTTAAGGCTAAAGAGATAACTCGTAAAGATGAAAACTGGGGTTTTAAAGTATGTTTGTGCATTCCTTGAGAGTTCTCAGCCCACATTAAAAGCAAGAGGCTGTCCAAAACCGCGGGGGGGGGGGGGGGGGGGGGGGGGGGGGGGAGGGAGGGAGGGGGGGATTTTTGCAGTCCCATTTGGCAAGTGAATAGTGTTAACAGCCTTGCGGCCTGTAAGGTTGGCAAATTCTCTCGCACGAAGGTGGCAGCGTGGAAAATCTTCTGGTAACACTTTGTTCTGAGAATTGGATAGATTTAAAGACCACCCAAAAGCAAACTTTCAAAGAAAGCGTGTTCTGAGAATTCAATAGGTTTAAAGACCATCCAATAGACCATTTGCAGTATTCCCAAGCGCCCCGGCCCGCACTCAAGGAATCATGGGAACGGTGTTCCTTCAGCTACCTAGTGATCGCTAATTTTCGACCAACACCGTGGTTACACAATTTTTGAGCGTAATTCGAGGTTACCCTGAACAAGCACCTGACATACTCCAAGGACCTGTCATTTCACTTTTAAAATTGCTCGTCGACGTCGGCATTTTTGATACTGCGCATGCGGTCCACCTTTCAACCTGGCCTGAGTTGCAGAAATCTCTTGCAATATTATCATTCTCGTTATTGTTGTTTGAGCAGGAATTGCTGAAAAAGTCGATAATTCACAACAACAAAAACCAGGATTTAGCTCGGAGTCCGTGGTGCTGTTTATAGAATTTTTAGCGTTTCTAACTTAATATCAGCATGATAATAATGTAGATTTCTGCAGCCCATCCAGGTTGTAGGGTGGACAGCATGCACAGTATCAAAAACGCTGACATTGGGGAGAAATTTTTAAAGCGATATGACAGGTCATTGGGGTATACAGTATAGACCACTTACAACGTAACCGCTTATAGTGCAGGACCGGGTGTAACACGGTTTTTTTAAACCACCGGTTCGCCTCCCATAGAACTCCATGTATTTACATACCGCTTAAAATGCAGGCGCTCGAAGGGAAATACCGGTTATAGTGCGGTTTTCGGCACAGCCCGCCGACCGCGCCGACGACCGGAGCAGCGAGCACGCTTCCCTGTGCGACACTAGATAACGGCGCTGACAGCGCGGGGCGAGGATGTTGCTCGAAGAAGTGGGGAGAAGCGAAGAGAGAGGCTTCAGTTGCCATAGCGACGGAGGGACGCATGCACGTGTCGTTCACGTGCGTGCGTCCCTCTGCCCCTCCGCTGCTTTGGAAACAAAGAAACAAACAACCGCACCGACAGACCAATCGCAGATCGAGGAGAAGTGTGCGCGCGCGTTGCATGCCGGTCGCGGGCCGGCTGCTTCTATCCGCAAACATGGTGTCGGTTGTGATCGTCATCGTAGATGGCGTTCATTTCATCGTTCTGCGTAAAAGCGCTATCCTTGACTGTGAATTTTCGTTGTGTGTCGCTATGATAACCCAGCACGTACTAGAAGGAAGATCCACCTACTTGTGCGGCGATGTCGTGGCGGCGCTCTCAAGATGGCAGAAACGCCCGTGTCGTCGTGTTTGTTTACTTCGACTACAGTAGTGATTTCTAAGCATTTGTGTTTCCGAACATCGCCCGGATTTCTTATTTGGAGCATTTCATGCCCGTGCTCAAATTGAAGGTATTACTGGCACGTACCGTATAAAGGATGCGAATTTTCACGCGTTTTCATCGCCGGAGAAAAGTGATTAGGGTTAGCAATCCTGAACGCTCGCAACGTCCGTCCGCGACGCCGTCAAAAAGCCTGCGCCAGGCAAAAGCCGCTAATTTCTTTCAAAAAGCGTGACACACTTGAGACAGAACTGTACTAGTCTGCTGAAATAAAGACTTTCCTCAAACTAAGCTTTATTTTTCATCTAACATAAAATAAATTCTTTTACAAAGGTAAGTTGTCTCATGGCATGTGCAGGGTGTCGCAAAAGAAAATTTACACGGTCTTTTTTACCGCAAAAATAAACTAGGCATCGCCGAACGCTCATTCTCCGCCCAAAGGTAGTGCTAGAGGTCACAACCAGATGCCAAAGTTTCAGCCCGATCCCATAACTTAATCAAAAGTTATAAGTGGTTTTCTGAAAATTTCAATAAAAAAGGTGGCCGACGGAGTTTTTAAACACATGGGGCTCTATGGCGCCAGAAACCGAAAACAGGCAAAAATGGGCTCCATTTTCCCATTGAACTTTTCAGAAAATCACTTATAACTTTTTATTAAGTTATCGGATCGGGCTGAAACTTTGGCATCTGGTTGTGACCTCTAGCTCTAACTTTGGGCGGAGAATGAGCGTTCGGCGATGCCTAGTTTATTTTTGCGGTAAAAAAGACGGTGTAAATTTTCTTTTGTGACACCCTGTGTTTTGGCCTGAAAAATTGATGTTTTGGTTATAGCGCGGTACCGCTTATAGTGCGGATTTTCGCGACTCCCGCGACATTCATTATATGCGGTCTACACTGTATCAGGCGCTTGTTCAGGGTGACTCCGAATCATGCTCAAAACCTGTGTAACCAAGAATAGGGTTGAAATTACCGATCACTAAGGGGCTGAAGGAACACCGTTCCCATGATTCTTTTAACGTGGGCCGGGGCATTTGGGGGATTTAGCAAATGGTCTATAGCAAACTTACAAAGAAAGCGTGCAGTACAGAAGGTGGCTGGCTGACGGGTGACAGTTGCTAGTTGACGAACGGAACTCTTATCTGTGGTCGCGCTAACTTTGGGCGGGCAGATAGAAAGCCACCTTTGACTGTAGCGGGATCATATGCGGTTTGATCAAACTGGGGTACTTCTGGGAATTGAAGGTGCTGAAGCGTCCGTCTCTTGGCAGGAGTGGAAGCTGGACACGCTGTGCGACCTGTACGAGACGCTGACCATCACCCAGGCAGTGATCTTCTGCAACACGAGGCGGAAAGTGGACTGGCTCACCGAGAAGATGCACGAGCGGGACTTCACCGTTTCTGCCCTGGTGAGTCGCTACACCAGACAAAGTGGTGCCCGTGTTGGCGGCATGTGCATAGAGCTACGATGCTTCCATTGTTTTGTGTCTTGAGTAGTTTTGGCAGGCTGATGGGTTCCCTTGAGCATGTTAGATCTACAGTCAAACTCGTTTATATTAAACTCTGGCAGTCACATATTTTAGTTCAATATATTCCGTAATTCGCTATATCAAAATCAAGCCCACTGCAAATTTTGTGGCCAGGGTTTCGTAATAAACAATTATTTTCTTGACACCCTGGTGAACATTCGTTACTGCATTCTTCAGCACCGTAAGAAACATTTATGACTTGCGAAAATGTAGCTGAAAATGCTCTTGGCAGGCTAACAGCTCGAACAAAAAGTAGCTTTCTAATCGTTTATTCTGCAAGAATCGAAGCACCTAGGCACACTCCGAAAGAAAAATCTTACCATTTTAGCGGACCGCAAAGCCTTTTTATCTGGGCTTAGATCCACGATCTGCAGTATGGCAGTTGGGCCCTTGAAAGAGATGTAATTTTGCTCCTGTTAAGCCAGAGTCCAAACAAAACCAGTGGAACCGTACAGAGACAAAAAAGAGCCATGCAGAGCAGCCGAGTCGCAGCGGATTGTTGGTTACATGCAAACGCCGCCGCCAGTCCAGTCGCAAATGCGTTATGATCTTAGGCAAACATTTGGTTATTGTTGAAATCAGTATTGCGATAGTATTTCGAAAATACTTTGTGTTTATAATTCTGTATCGCGATACAATTTTTTAGTCGGTATCTGTATTTCAATATTGGAACAAATTCTTAGCGTATTCCTTCAGGGTGTCTACCGACCGGAAAACCGGGAATTGTCAGGGAATTTTAAGACACCTGGAAAAGTCGGGGGAATTGACAGGGAAATTTCTAAAAAGATTGTTGAGTCGGTGAATTTAGGCAGGCATAGCCATGAGCGCAGTCAAGTCGGCGGAGCAACCCCCCAGCGCGATGCGACCCGGCCAAGCTGACTGGTGCAGCGTTTCCACACCAACTTTTCACGCGCTGCGCTTCACGCGAGAGTAGTATGTGCAAAGCTGGCAGCTCGTCGTTCTTCTAGTACACTCTAGAGCTGCTAAATAAGCTACACTTTAGAGTAGCAACACTAAAGTATGGCAGCTAGAGAGTTACTAGTGAAGCGGAGTAGCAGCGGCCATTTGGCCTAGCCTGTGACTCTAGTCAGGTGGTGATGCTCTCGTGACCATAGAGACGCAGGGGAAACAGTTACTCTAGCTGATACTAGGTGGCGCGAGTCACCACTCAGAAGGGAACAGGGAGGGAGTTGCAAGCTGCACTTTAACACGCGAAGAGCCGCAAGTGGCTCGCAAGCCGCAGCTTGGCCACCCCTGCTCTAGCACCTACCCTGTAAATTTCATTAATTGCCTAGGGTTCCAAAGTTGACCCTTTCAGGGGGTGTGGCACCTTAATGAAAGATGTATTCGAGTGTTACTGCCCCGGCAAAAGTTGAATGCCTGTATTTGCATTTTCGAGTACTTTTCTATTTTTCAAAAGTATTTCTGATAACGCATTGCAATATTTCAGTACAAATGTGTTTCAGAATCGGTATTTTAGCTGTCTTTGTCATGTATCCCAGTATTAGTATTTCCAAATATGTTTTAGATTTTCTCTGCCTAACCCTGCTTTGCGCTAAAGAATCGTTTCCAGCTTGTCAAAGAACGATAAAGACGGTTGCCATTTCCTGGGTGAAATGGCAACCCTCCTACGCATTTCTTTTTCTTTTGGAGCGCTGGTGCATTTTTTCTTTTTTTTTACATGGCTTGTACTGACGTCACATCGCCTGCTTTTGCCCGCCATGTAAAAGAGAGAGGGTAGCTCCTTTTGTAGGAATTTTGAGTGACGGGTTAATTGTTATTTTCTGGGTGAGGGGGGGGGGGGGGGGGGTTTAATAGAGACGTCTGGGAAATCTGAGAGACACAAGAGGGTCTTGGTGAGAGGGGAACTGCTTCTCCCCCTCTTCTTTGATGGTCATCGGAGCAGTCTTCGGGTGACGTCACGTGCAAGCCATGTATTCAGGATGGATGCTCTCGCAAGGTTTCGAAGTCCACAGTTTTCTCAGTTCGATGTATAGCCAATGGGGTTGCATTATTAAGGTACTTTTTTATGCATGCAATTTGTTCTGAATATTTGGGTGTTTGATATAAACAATAATTTGCTGTATTTGAGTTTGCTGTGAGTGGGTTAGACTGTGTGTATGGCATTTGTAAGCTTGGCTTCAGAGAAGCAGGTTCCACAAGCCCGGGTTGACGATGCACTGGGCATATAACGGATGAGATATTACAGTAGGCTTCTTCTAAGTGATGCTTGAAATGAAAGTGTGTATGGCTACTTATTTATTGTTCACCTATAGTCACTGACAAGAATAAAATCTTCGGGTGGTCCTTCTGAGCATTGATCATGAATGCGCTACTGAAGATGGTGGTAAGCAAAAAGTGCACTATGCCCTGCCATTCTCAACTAGCTAAAATTGCCTTTTGTTGGACAACTGAAAATGTACCGCTTAGTGTTTCCTCCTTGTTTTGTAAGCAGGATATAAGGATTTTTAAGTCGTAGTCATTGGTCGCAACTGATCCTTTTCAAGACTCCATTGAGCAGCATTGTTGGTCACAGCGTTCTAGGAGTCGCCTGTAGAGTGTAGTGTTTCGTTAGACCCCAAGCAGAGCGCACGGCAAGCCGCCTCGGTGGCTCCGAGGCGAGAGCGCCGGCCTAGGATCCCCAGGTGGCGGGTTCGAATCCTGACCGAGGTGCCCGCAATATGACGGAGGCTTATTGCAGAGAAGGCGCCGTGTAACCGAGCTTTCGGTTGCACGTCAAAAGATCCCCAGGGGGTCGAAATTAATCCTCAGTCCTTCGCTGGGGCGTGCCAGATGCCCGTCGTAGGTTTGGCACGTAAAACCCCCAAATTTGGATTTTTTTTGAGCGCACGGCAATAAAACGAACGTGTCCAGTGTATGCTGCGAGGCTGCAACACAAATATGGTGTGGCAGCTACTACACCCTGTTCGCCCTTAAAGTGGCACGCAAGTGGATTCCGAGGTCATGTATTTATTGTCAAAACTCCATCTACGGGCTCTAAGCTTCCTAAAAAAACACAAAATTACATTCTAGGGCTGCCGATTTCCCTATAAAAAATCCAATCAAAGATTGTGCCACACCCCGCTTTCTGCGCTGTGGTGCAGAACACAAAGGGGTGCCGTCGGACGGGAAGGCAGCAGGGGACGACATGCGACAGCAAATTGCAAGTCACAGCTTCCCGGCGGTCTGGTTTTTGGAATGCGTGCATATTCGAAAAATCAGTCTTGGTCTTTCCGGTTTTTCGGAAACCGAAAAATCGGTTTCCGAAAAATCGGAAAAATCACAAGTGACGAATTTTTCCGTCACAAGTGACGGAAAAATTCGTCACTTGTGATTGGCTCTAGCGCGTCCTCCCCTCTTGCCATCCCGTCCGACGGTGCCCCCTGGTGTTCTGCGCCAACACAAAAAGGGGGTGTGGCACGATCGTTGTTTTGATATTTAATTAAAAAAAATCAACCGCCTATAAGATTTTTTTTTTTTTTTAGGATGCTTGGAGTTTTTAAATTTGATTTATAACAATAAAGAGCCAATCTCAGAATCCACTTGAGTGCCCCTTTAAGCTGACCGGCAGCCAAAGCAAGCTCACCTCTTGAGATCCGTGTTTATGTCCAAGCTAATCATGTGTTTGGGAGCGTCCATCGGTGCTGAGCGCTGTGCCCCGTCCTTCCCCGCAGCACGGCGACATGGGCCAGAAGGAGCGTGATGTGATCATGCGCGAGTTCCGGTCGGGCTCAAGTCGTGTGCTGATCACGACCGACCTGCTGGCACGAGGCATTGACGTCCAGCAAGTGTCCCTGGTCATCAACTTTGACCTGCCCACCAACAGGGAGAACTACATCCACAGGTGAGACCTCACGACCCGCTTCAACGGCAGCAGGAGTGCTCTGCTTCCGACATTTTTTCGCCGGAAGCTGGACAAAAGGAAGTAGCGGGGACATTGTTTCTTAAAATTGGGTTTCTAGGGCCGTTTGTGATGATCAACATCTAGAGCTCAGATATTGTATTGACTTGTCTGTAAGCTGTTTTTGTTGCAATGGTGGTTACGTGGTTCTAATAGTTTGTGGGGGAGTTTGATAAGGATGTGTTTGGGTATGCAAGAGTACTTTAGAAGTTGGGTGAAGACATAAGTATAGAGTAATCGCTATAATGTTTTGACGTTGCCTCCTGCATGGATGGGGAAGCATTAAATGAAGCCATTTGTTAAGTCCTAATATCTTTATAATCTCTGGAGGGTAGTTACAGGCCTGTATCTTGGGGGACGCATCTTTGTGACGATGTTGCCTCTTCCTCCACAGAATCGGCAGAGGAGGCCGTTTCGGTCGTAAGGGGGTGGCCATCAACTTTGTGACGGAAGAGGACAAGCGCACCCTGAAGGACATTGAGGGCTTCTACAACACCGAGATCGAGGAGATGCCCATGAACGTGGCAGACCTGATCTAAGGGGAGAGAGCGCCCCGAGCACCAGCGTGCCCGGGGGGAGAGAGGGAGTCTGGGCTGGAGGGGGGAGGGGTCCGTGATGCTGTCAACCGTCACGCTCCCTGTGCCGCCGAGAGTTTGGACCAGGGGGACAACTGTGAACGGGACATTGGACACGTGCGGAGTGAGAACTGCCCGTGCGTCTGGTTCGCGCAGTCTGTGACTGTGGAAGGGGCGGCCGGGGCGAACGGAAGATTTGCGGGAGCGTCGAGCGGCGGCGGGGACCGACGCGGAAGACTCGTCCGTCCGGCGCGGCAAGCAAAATTGGACGGTGTCCTTCTCTTCGGAATTGGGGTGCCGAGTCGCCTTCCACCGGTCGGGCGTGGGCAGGCGTCCTTCCGCTTCCCTCTGCGTCCCGCACTTGTCCTGTCTGCCCTGGCCCAAGGGGCGAGTTTACGAGCCAGACGTCGGGGGCGCAGGTTGAAAGTGCAATGACGGAACGGACTGTTCCAATTGGCCAAACCAAAAGTTCTAGAACAATTGGTGTTTAACCATATAATTAGAAAGTGAGTTTAAAAAAAAATTAATAATCTGAAGCAGCGGCGTTGCTGTGAGAAAGTTTGTCTCAGTGCCTCGGGCACGATTTCGGTAAAGCAAGTAGTTGCTAAAATGAGTTATAAATAAAACGGGAGAAAGGCGCGCTTTCTCTCTTCCCCCTGTAACTTGTGCTTATTATATTCGTGTCTTTTTTGTGTCTGGGGCTCCCTAATAATCTACCATGTTTAAAGGAGTTAATTTTTATTAAATTCAATATGAATACATTGGTGTGTTGGTTTCCTTTTTTTTTTATATGCCCAGCTTGGAGATGGGTCACTTTTTTTCCCTTTTCTTTTTTGATTGTTGGAGTACTTTGTGGTGACGTCTAGCATTCTTTCTGCTATTTGCCACCTTTTTGCGATAATTTGATTTGTATTATTCAGACTTAGAGTTTAATTTTGAGTGCAGAATGGACTGTCGCTACTCTGTTTTCTGCGTTAGGTACATGGCTGTTTTTTGTGTACATACTGTACGCTTTGGTACTAACTAGTGTGGTGTGTTCCGCGCAAAGATTGCTTTGTACAGTAGCTGCAAGCGCATATATTTATGAAGCAAGGGGAGCGAATGATTGGTTAGGTCGAGGCATGGGCATGCACTTTTGCCATGCCATACTTTTTTTTTTTTAATACCTTGGGTCTTATAAGGAAGGATAATAATGTGCCCGGTCATCTATGGTCCTGTGCAGAGGTTTAACTTCAGCCCCTATTGCAGTTTTGTGCCTGTCAGCCTTGAGGCACCATTCCCGCCCTATCCATGCTGGCTCAGTATTGTGGCTGTAGTGTCATGTGCTTGCTAACTCTTAGTTGCTCCCATCGTGTTTTTTTGTGCAAAGACATCCCACTTTGCGAAGCCAACGAGTGCTTTGGACAGATGTTGGACGGGACAATAGAAAAGAAAAAAAGAAATGCGCGCCAAGCGGGGTGCATACTTTTATTTTTCTGCCCAACACTCGCAGTTCGGGGAAGACATTTTGGTACGCCGAATAAAGCTAATGTTTGGAGAGTACCTAGAGTTTCGAGTCTTGAAAATATAGTTCTAGACATGCTCTTTAACAGTTACTAGGTCATAAACAAATTAAAAGAAAAAAAAACATTGTGGTACTTTGTGGAAGCTTTCCCACCGCTAGTGAAAGTGGAGCCGCAACGTGCGTATACATGTCGGACTGCATGCACATTGGAATTGCTCATGGCTAGCTTGATAGGGGGGTACCAGTCGCTGAACAGAGGAGTGTGCCCAGATACCGAAGTTTGCAAATGCGCGATCAGGTTCGGGTGTGGCCGCGTTTGCAGTTTAGGCTTAGAGGAGACTGAAGTGTCGATTGTCTGCAAAAATCTGCAAGTGAAGCTCCCTGGCTCCACTCCATCAATCTCGACAAAGCGCTCATGCACGCCCAATCTGAGCAGGAAGCGACCACCATAAAATATTAACAGGTTTATATGGTTTGAGATAAGTCTGTGTATTTCAAAAGCTTTAAGGTTTGACTAAATCTATTAAATCTAGGCTTTCTGAAAGTTTTTAGGGTTCCTTTTGAGCTGCATCACTGTGGCGGTGAAAATGAATCAAACGACTAGAGAGTGCACCCTTTACCAAGCTGTTTAACACCTAAAGAATAAGTCGAGAAGGTATAAAACTGGGGTGCTCTTCTTTTTTTTATTTATTTATTTTTATTATTTATTAATTTGAACTTCAAGCTACTTTTTGACAGCATTTTAAGTTTCAACCCCAACCTACTGTACTCTAGGTAGAGGTAAATCCACAACGCATAACTTTTTTTTTTTTTTTTTCTTTCTTTTTCTCCTTCTTTTCTGTTTTAAATGAGGGACGGTTTTTTGGGGATTGATGGTTTTGGAGATTTTCGTTCGTTCCCCGATGCCTCCTCTCGCAGACTTTAGTGCCTTTGCCGAGGAACCTCGGCACCGTTAGGACGGCAGACAGTAGCACTAGAGAAACTACGAAGGGGGCAAATATTTTTAATGAAGGCGTGGCGCCACTCCGGTCGCCTAGAAAACAAGGCCGTAGTGCTGACATTGCGTCGCCAGCGAAGGCCAACTCTGGACACAGATTGGAAACGAGTTTGCGTCGGCGCACGGCTTCGAGTCAATTTTGAGCCGAACGTTGACGCAATCGTCGTGTCCAATCTGTGCCCAGCGTTGGCCCTCGCTGATGAAGCCATCTCATTCAGCACTGCGGCTTTCTTATCTGGAGGAGTTGCTCGACCTGCCCCTTTCCGGGCTCTCAGCATTCCGCTGCTCGGTGCTTGTCGGCATTAAACCAAGGGACACTGACAGGGTATTTATGCCCACCAAGGTACGTGACATAGAAGAGAAAACCCCAACTACCAAAAAAATTTAGCAATAAAAAAGAAATATACCCATCTTTTTGTGTGTGTGTGTGTGTGTGGCTTCTGACAAACTGCAAATACGTTGACTGAAGAAAAAAAAAAAAGTTGCTCACTTATTTGATTTTTGACCAACTCTCCTCCTCTTTATTAGTTTCTTCTTCCTCCCCAGTTTCGGTTTTGAGCAGCTGCGTTTTTTTTTACTTCATTACAATTATATGTGACGCTGTAGCAAAATATTCGTAGAGTAGTCTTGTGACACCATAATCAATCACCTGGCAAAACAATAAAATAAATTTTAGGGGGTGTCAGTGTGCCTTTATAGCTGGAAAGTCGAAAGATGCATTATTTTGTCCGTCCTTCGTGTTTTATTCTTGTATGTGACTTTTTCACCAACGCGCTCAGCTAAAGTATCTTCGGTTGAGGTGGTGACAACCGAACGATAGTTAAAGTCTCCCCAAGTTGGAAAAAAAAAAAAGGAAATATAAAGTTCTAGCTCGTTGCGAGCTAGAAGTTTAGATAGAAATCGGTTGGAAGTTTTCGTGTCATCCCGTTGCACTCGGCAAGTTGTAGCACCCAAACAAATCTTCAAACACATTAATAGTAGAACACGAAAATTAGGCATCCGCTTGCGACCCATTAAGTATATAAGTAACCGGTGTTTAATTAAAAAGTTATTCGTGATTTTCAGAAATTTTCAGTAAGGAAATGGTGACAAACGGAGCCCGCGAATGAACTGCACGCATTACCAGGAGCGCGTCTCATTTTCTAATTAAAGAGTTTCTGAAAATCGCTTATAACTTTTTAATTGGATAACGACAAGCTTTGAAACTGGCATCTGCTCCGAACCACTAGCTCTAAATCTGGGCCGAGTCTAGTCGTTCAACCAATGTAAGCATACTTTATTATTTTTTTTATTGTTAAAAAAACGCGTTTTTTTTAAAGCGTTTGGCATATTTTTTTAAATAACATGTAATCTTCAGGGCCAAATGACACCCTTTTAGATGAAGTCGATGAAGTAGACAAACCGGTCACTTTACAAAATACGACGGAGCAGCCTATCTTGTTCCTGGTATATTCGATACCCGGCAGAAAGTTCTGGTATCTTGTGAAGCAAAATAACACAACTGAAAAAAGTGAACCCCTTGCAACCGCCCATTTTTTGTCCTTCGTTGCATGGAAGCTCATGCTCCTCACTTGCCGAAAATTTACTCCAATCAGCCCAAAGAAAAAACAGTTGGTTATGTCAGTTTCTAGTTTCTTTCCCTTTCCTCATCATATACTTCAAATGAAAGAGCGTCAAGTTTTATTATCGCGCAAAGGCCTCTTCACTTTTGAATTTCGCGCCCTTTGGGTGTTGCCGACGCAAAACTATGGTGCCTGGATCGCGTCTTTGACTGGTGTCTTTACCGCGGCCAAAAAAGTGGTCCCTCGATTTCCGCCTGATGACGTCATAAAAGTGTCATGTTGTCGCCGGTCGCGACCCTGGCGGCGTTCCAACAGTTATGGTGTATGTAGCAGATGCCTGTTCTGCTGCAGGTCTCTCTCCACTGTGACAGTTCACGGAAGCTACTGCAGCCGGAAGTTGGGACGCCTAATGGGACGCCGTGACGACAGCGACACTCGCATTCGCTCGTGCTTTTGGCCAGCATTTCTACGGCCAACCGCCAGGATCGCGACAGGCAACAGCATGACACTCGCGTCATTTGTTGCCATATCGGGACCACTTTTGATGTATGGGTGGGCTAGGACGCTAAACACACCAGTCGAAGACGCGCTCCAGGCACCATAGCAAAACCAAAACGGCCACACGGGCCACACGCCGCCGCCGAAGCCGCCGCCGCCGCGCCGCCGCCAATTATTGATCAGACCCGCTCTGGGCTAGATTGGCGTGACGTCACGTCACTAGAAAGCAAAACAATTCATGCGTCGTTTTTCGGAAATTAATTTTTATAATACTTTGGTCGACACTTATTTTCTTGACTCTTTGATATCACGTGTGTAACCCATAGGTGTAACCTCGCGAGAAAGCAAGATCTGAGTTGTCTGAGTGCTGAATAATCGAACCCACTTGTTCGAAAAAGGAGTGGAGGAGTCGTCAGAGTCGTTTCGTTGCGTTTCGTTCAGAGAGCGTCGGTGCTCGGTGCGCGCGAAACGGCTGCTACTCAGATCACAGCTCATGTAGTTAATCAGTCAGTGTTGCCAACCGTAGGGTAATTACCCTACTTGTAGGGTATTTTAGGCATTTATGGTATATTGTAGGGCTGTAGGGCCGTCCGGCCATTTCCCCGCCAAAAGTAGGGTATTTTCAGACGTTGCTTCTTCAACGGCGAGCATAACAAAAAAAAAAAAAAAAAAAAAAAAAGCTTATGCACAAGTTTTGCATAGCTTTACAACCCGTGTGCTGCCACACCACAACATCATGCAAAACGAAAGAATCCAAGTTGCACGACCTGCTAACTGAGAGCACCACACACCAATTTGGAGGATGTAGGCTCCCTAACTTGGAGAGTATTGGAGCGCTAGAGCAAGTGGGAGGTGGGAGGAGGTGGAGTTGCGCTTAGGAAGTTTGGAGCCAGAAGAGGTATCTTCCCATTGGAAATGGTCCCGCCAATTTTTTTCCGATGACTGGTCCATC